TTCTTCCAGGTCCACAACTTTCTTCCCCGTGCTTTTCAGCGCTAGTGAATCCCATCCGGCCCCCTCATAATCCTCCCCTCCGCATCCCTCACAAACGGCCCATCCCCATCTTTATCCGCATCCCCATTCTTATCCCCATCCCTCACAAAACAAGCAACAAAAAACCCCATCACCCCCCTCCCATCCTCCCTCTCCGCCCTCACGCACCCCTCCGCCACCACACCGGGCACTATCCCCCCATCCCCCCCATTTTCACCGCAAGCACCCAAATCCCCCCTAACAGGCCACTCCCTCATCCCGGTTACTTGCTCCCCTCGCTCGAGGATGCGCCAGCCACGCCGGCGGGCGACGGGGGAGCGCAGGGCGGCGAGCACGACCTGTTCGTTTTCGAGGGCGTGGGTGGAGCAGGTCGAGTAGGAGACGCGGGTGGCGTGGGGGAAGGTGAATGCGTGGAGGAGGATGGCGAGTTCTGTGGTGGAAGGGAGGGTTAGTTAGCTAGTTGGGGGTGAGTTGGGGTGGGGGTGAGTAGGGAGGGGAATAAGGGGATGGGAAGGGGAGGGTGAGGGGGAGGGGGGCAGTGAAATTGGTGTGAGTGAAGAGGAAGGGGGCGGCTCGTGGAGAAAGGAGTGGCTCTGTGGTAAAGGGCTCAACGGAGTTGGGGGGGTTGGAAATCGGTCACGGATGGTAGAAAGTTGGGAGGTGGGAAAGGGATGAGGTAGTTGGCAAGTAGAAAGGAGAGCACCTACGAAAAGAAGCCAGCGCCTCCAGGCCGCGTTTGGAGGGGCTTCTCAGACAGAACGGTTCTACCCCATCATCATCAATAACCACAGCTGGCGGCTCAGGCGCACGCTTCCGCTTCAGCGTCCGGTGGAACCCTCACTCCCATTCGCGGCCTTCCCCGCCGCTCCCCCAGCAGCAGGCAGGTGAAACTCGGGCGTATCATCACGCCCGACAATCCCCACTCCCCGAGCACGACGGATCCAGCAGCAGGGCCCCCACGGCCCGAAACTCAGGCGCATCAGGGTCCGTCTTGAGAAAGTCGGCGCCCGGGTGGATCACCGTGACCTTATCCGACCCCGCGGCGCGGACCATCTTGGCCAGCGTTTTAGCGCGGTTCTTATCCTTCTCAAAAGCCAGTATGCGCTGCTGACCCGCGGCAAGCCCCCCGCGCTCGTGCAGGATGGCCGCGAGGTGGGTGGTCTTGTTGCCCGGGGCGCTGCAGGCGTCGACAATGTCACCGTCCTCCGGGCGCGGGTCCAGCAGGTAGGCCGGGAAGCAGGAGGCTTTGTCCTGCAGGATGATGGCGCCGGATTGGTAGGCGGGCGTCTTGGTGAAGTCAATCCCGGGGGGTGCCGCGATGAGGTTGGGGACGTGGCTGTCGAGGCAGAGGACTTTTTTGTTAGATGAGGTGGGTGCCATGACCTCGCTGACGGTGGGGACGACTTCGAAGCCCTTGAAGGTCGTGTCTAGCTGCTCGTCGACGGTGCTCTTGAGCGAGTTGACGCGGATCCAGCGCGGGTGGGCGGGGCCGGACTGCGCATCGATCACTGCCTTCAAGGCGTCGACCGTGGGGCATTTCCTCCGTAACCTGGCCCGGGTGAATTCGGATTGGAGTCTTGCTTTGTGTTTCTCTATGGATACACGGAGTCCGTGAGAAGCAGGAAGGGCGATGCCCTTTTTGGCGAGGAGAAGATCATGGGCAAGCAGGATGGAGAGGGTTGGTGTGATCTGTGACTGTCAGTCTCCATAGCATTCTTTACACAAAAGCTGAAATATCTGCAATTTACCTTTCGCTCTTTTTGCAACAGCTGTGAGTTCTCAACCACCTCCTTCAGGACGGCACTCCATTTGCTGGATTCAAATGCCAGAGCATAAACCTGGGCAGGCGGTGATTTGAGATCTTTGTTTCCATATATCCTGGATTTGAGACTGCCCCCATGAGTAGAGGGGCCTGTGACTATGGCCGCAGTCTCGTGATAAAGAGACATGTTGAGGGTGAGCAGGAGTGGGAGAAGTTAAAGGTTGTGTTTAGTTAGTGTCAGTCGAAATTTCAGTTGGGTGAAGTAACGTTACAGGGTTAGGGTTCATTATATTCAACATGTCAGCTTCAGCTATCTATACCTCATTTCACTCTCACTCACGGCCAGCATCAAGACAGTCAGTTGTGCGCATTGGCTCTATTGGCATCTATATGTTTGCGTAGCCAACTGCTAGCCCCTCGCCCTTTGTTCCCCAGGGCCAAAAACAAGCAACTTCTCCTCCCAAAATCACTCCGCGGCCAAAACCAGCCAACAGAAGCTCCAGCGGCAGCGAGCTGACCATCAGCCCACCGCCAAAAGAATCGAAAATAAATGATAAAGATACACACAGATCGAATCGAAGATGTCGCAGCCGGTGGATGGTAGTAGATGTCTCCTCCTCCTCCCAAACCCAGCCCCAGAATGTGGTTAAGCGAATGAATGAATGTCATAGCGTCGTGAAAAACCCCCAGCAGCAAACAACCCTCCAAATCCCTTCGCCCCCCCCACGAATCCAAATCAATGTGGTATCCAGCGCCGCCTTTTCTACCCTCTCCTTTCCGCCGCGCGGCGAAAAAAAGCAGGGTCTTGAGAATCCCAGAACACCCCCTCTATGCGTGTGCCCTATCCGTCCGAAAAGGGTGACCCGAGAAGGAAAAAGCCGAAAAAGAAAAGTGTTGCAAGCAAATACAGGTGAATCCTCGCCGCCGCAAGGGCGGGAGGTGTTGTTTGATAGAAGAATATGTACGAACTACGAAACGAAAGAGTCTCTTGGACTTGGCTGGACCTGGACGTTAGACTTCCATCTATCTCCGATGCCTCCGCGAGGGCAGGCGCGCATGCTGCATATAGTGACGGCTCGCATGGCGCTTCCTCAGCGCAGCGGCGCCCGAGCCGGGCAGCTCACCGCCCTTAGCATACAGGGTCAGAGCCCAGTCGCCGCCGCAGGTCTGGTTGGCGTCGCCCTTGCAGGGGGTGGCGCACTTGGCGTCGTCGAGCTTCTCGAGCGGGCTCAGGGAGTTGCCGCAGAAGCACTCGCCGCCGTACTCGGTGCCGGCGACGGCGAAGCCCTTGGCGGAGCAGTAGTCGACGCACGCCGTGTTGCTGGCGTCGCCGATCTTGGGGAGCACCTCGCCGCGGAGCGCGCGTGCCGTCGTGTCCTTGTAGCAGCCCACGTACCTGAAGCCGGCGATGTCTGCGGGCGCGTCGCCCGACGACTGCTGCGCCGCCTGGGTGGGCGCCGGCAGGTCCTCGGCGTCGTCTACGTAGACTGTCTGGGTCTGCCAGACTGTCACTGTGTCGTAGATCGTCTTGGTGTGGATGGGGGCGGGCGCCGGGGTCGGCGCGGGGGTAGGCGCCGGCTCATCCTTCTCGAGCTCATCCTTTTCGAGCTCGTCCTGCTCCGGCTCATCCTGGCCCGACACATCGTTGATAACCGCAGACGGTACCAGCTGGAGAGTGGGTGCAGGGATGGGGATGAGGGTAGTAGGGACAGGAGGAGGGGGGGCCGCAGCGGTGGACGACGGTTTCTGGACAGGAGGCTGCTTGGAAGAGCTAGAGCTCGAGCCACCGGTTCCGGGCTGGGGCTTCGGGTCCGGCGAGGGAGCAGCGGAAGGCGAAGGAACGGGAATCGGCAGGGGAGCGGGGAGGTCGCCGCCGCCGAGGCTCCAGCCGGCAAGAGGGTTGTTGCCGGGTAGCTTCTCCAGGGTGCCGTCAACCACCTCGTCGATGGGGCACTCGATGTTGCAAGAGCCGCTAGGGTCGTTGGCGCCGTACTTCAGGCCAGCGCAGGTATGGATGCCGGCGTGGCCGGCGTTGCAGGTGTCGATGATGTGCTGAAGCTCCTCCTCGTCCCAGCCCGAGATGAAGTCGCCGTGAGCCGAGAAGCCGGTGGTGTCGCCGTTGGCGAAGACGAAGGGGCTGGCCTTACCGACCATGTCCCTGAAGCGCGGCAGGAGGTCGTGGGTCTTCCAGTACGTCTCGAAGAACATGTGCGGCAGGTGGATCCAGCCCTCAGGGCAGTCTTGCTTGCCGCCGCCCGCATCCGACGGGAACTGCATGTTGTTCTGGTAGTTGGTCAGGCCGGCCGAAGGATCGTAGCACGAGGGGAAGTGGACGTCGACACGCATGGGCGAAGCGTAGCCATCGCAATCCTGAAAGGGGAAGCCGATGCCCGCGCCCTTGTCTGATGTGGATCCGATGCCTGCCTTGGAGCCGTCGGAGCCGCTCGGCCAGGTGGGAGGGTCAAAGTTGACGCGAGGGCAGGTGATCTGCACGGGCTGAATGGGGCCCTTGGAGGGGTCCAGGTTGACGTCACCCGTATCCGCGGGGGCCGTCCTCAGCATGGCGTTTCCGCTGACGATCTGGAGACCGAGGGGGAAAGCCTTGATGTCGTCGTTGGTGGGTTCGAAGAAGTAGTAGACGTTCATGTAGTCCATCGTGACCGGCTCCAGAAGGCCGGTGGCGGGATCCTTGAAGTAGAGAAGCGGGAACCAGTAGGCGCTGAGATCGGCCTTGGGGAGCGCCGTGGTGCACTTGGACTCACGCAGCTGCTCGCCCGTCACGTTGAGGCCGAAGTTGCTGGCGCCCATGACAGTGTGGACGTGGGCCGAGGCCGTTCCGGGGGAGACAATGGGGTCAGCACGGCAAGTCGTCAGGGGGCCTTTTCCATAGTGACGCAGCACGGCGAAGGTGCGTTTGTCCTTGGCCGCGGAGGCAGTGGCGACCAAAGCCGCCAGGGCGGTAGCGAAAAGCATCTTGTTGGTGATTTGGGTGTTTCGAGGTTCTATTTGTTTGGTATGTTTTGTGTGTCGGTTTCCTCTAGGTTGGGCGAAGAGTAGGGGTCGGTCTCTAGGACTGAGCAAAGTGTCGTTGTAGTGGCGTCAACACCGGTACCAGTTTGTCACTGAAAAGAATGCAGATAATGCTTTGTTTGAAAGGACTGTTGGTTTCCTTGCGCTCGGAAGTTGCTTTGAAGTCGAGGGCTGGGTCAAGGTTGGCAATGGATCAACCCACGTCAAGTGAGCAACAATGAGCAAAGGAGGCGCTGAGCAAGCTCGGCAGCTGTTGAAAGGGAGTGTAAATCACAAGTGCAAAGAGCACGAGCGTTAAAGGAAGGACTGGCAAAAATGCCTAGAGAAAGGAATGACAGTGTAGCCCGTGAGGTGAGGGTGGGGGAAAAGACGAGTTTGGATGGCCGCGCCGGGATGGGACGGCCGGGTTTATAGCCCGCCTCTCTGGGCGACCCGGACTCCTCCCCCTGGGCCTAGGCCATGGTGGTGGTGAGTGTGCAACCTGGAACACCTCCGCTGTCCCCGCTCACTTGCATGGTGCCTGATGGAAGCTTGGCAGGTACTTGCGGGTCTTGACTAACTCGGTTTGTTCTTCTTCTCCTTGCGCCTCGATAAGTGATGAATCACCACCAGTGTTCGAGACCGCGGTCAGGCTTTTTCCCGGGGCCAAATAAGCCAGGGCAAACATACCTTGAACCTTGAACCTGGGACTCGGGCCTTGAACCTGGAATGGAAGAAAAGCATCGTGTCCGTTGTCAGAGCGCACCCCCTGATGGCCAACAAACCCGGTCCAGGTCGGCTCGCCCGGCGGCTGTCGGTTGGCCTTGGATGTCGTGCCATGGGTTCCTCAGCTCAACGCTGCAGTAGTCCATACCACAGCATGACCCTCCCAGTGGTTAGTATGCCGTCAGAATAACTAATGGTTAAAAATTGAAGAATCCAAGAGACTCCAAGCGCTCAGAAACAACCCAAGGGCGCGGGGGTTCACAGGTTCACAGCGTCTGCCGAGATGGAGGGGACGGGAGGGGGAGGAACTTTCGTCCAGGGGAAATGTGGTCCATGCGTTGTACCTGCATTTTGCATGGTTAGCATGCCATTGGATGGCACGTCGCTTTTCTGGGCCCTGAGCTGCAGGTTCTCGGCGGTGCCTTGCTTGGATGGACAGAAAAATGAGAGAAAAAAGCTCAAGTTGCCACATGTTTCCTTGGCTATTTCTCTTGCCGTGCGTCTGTGGCGTCCAATAGGGTTATTCTCGAAAACAGGGTTTTGTGTGTGTCAACTCCAACCCGACGATCGCCGTTGGGTTTAGAGTGAGAGATCTCAGACATTTCAGAACCCAGAAGATTGGGGAATGCAAACGAAACAAATTCCCACCAGGCAGGCCCAAGCTGGGGAAATGACATGAACCTAGGTCGCTGTTTCCCATCCCATGTTTGCACATCTCGGGGATTTATGCGCCACGAGGGCACCCCTGTTACGCCCCCAACGGGCCGACTGTGGCTCCTTCATTGGCAGGGACAGAATTCAGACAGCTTCTCTGAAAGGGCAAGCACAAACACTACCGTAATTGATAACATGATGAAAATAACAAATTACTGTTTCTGTTTCTGCGAAAGTGCGGAAGCATAGGTGTGACGATGGTGACCTATTCACGTCCAATGCATCCGATCGGAGATGTTTCCTTGCCGTTGCCATGCTTGATGCCGCGCGGTTGATCATCGATTCATCCCAACCCACGGATCTGTCAAAGCGGGTCGGGAAGGTTCCCATCTCAGGAACAGCGATCCATACTGACCAATCGGGTTGCGGAAACGGGCCAAGTCAGGTTTGGGTGCGGGGCGCTTCAGTGCTGACCCTGGTAGGCTTCCCCTGAAACGCGCTATTTTGATGAGATGCCCGGTAAGGGTCAAGCCTCAGTTCCAAAAACCGCTTCTTCCAAACCTTCCGGGTTCCCCTCTTTTCCATCTCTTCCACCGGGGGCGCCACCGAAGGTTAACCGCATTTGGATCCCAGGAACGGGATGACGGGCGCGTTATCATCTTCGTAACTTCTCGAGACAACCTGGGAGGTGATTTGAGGTTGGATGGAACGTTTGCTTCGTTTCATCTTTCAATAATTCACTGTTTGCGGCCCCATGCGTCCGCACCTC